ACTGCATTCTTTTATCGCAATATGTCATAAGTTGAACATAATTCATATCGTGAGATAAAACTATATCGATTAATCAGCTACCTTCAGCAGCGTTTGATTTTCCGGTTCCCACTTAGTTTTTCAATTTAGTTAAATCGTTTTATCGCGACTCTTAAGATTGGAACCCCAATCCATCCATCTCCCCGCCCAAATGAAAACACTCATTAGAAGAAGCAATTGAATTTCGATTTAATGTGGAGGTTCTTCTTAGGTAGAATCTTGTCGAATTTAGTTCTATTCTCAGCCGATAATCATTCAACTTTCTCAAATTGTTTTCCATTTCTTCTACTGTTTTCAAGAATTTTTACCAAAGGTGACAACAATTCACTAGTACCACTTAGCAATAATTCTAAACAATTATGGAACTTGTCTTTGTTTGTTTGTTCAGTTCAAAATGCAGTCAAAAGACATACTTTCTAACTGTTGGAGCCGGAACTTCGAAAAGAAATAAATTTGAAATGACTAAAAATAAGTTGAAATCAAATTCAGCTCACCAATAATGCAACGAATGACACTAAACGATTCTGAACGATTCGCATTCAATGCGCTCATTCTATAAATATCCAAGTATTCAGTGTCAAATTTCCATTTTTCATTTGTCCTTGAAACGAGTTTTTTCTTAATAGCCGAGAAAGGATTCTTGAAAATTGTTCCATTTTATTGCCTAATTTTCCTTAACGTCGCTTACTTTGAAATTATTACCTGCGCAATTAGAAATAATTACGATGATGTGCAACGTTACGGCGTTGCGACATCTTCAGGAACGTCTTTTTGAATCACTATTGGCCATGATGCACATACGGTGGATGGATCTAGGGTCAGGGATTATGGAAAAATTAAGGAAGGGGATAACAAATGAGCTGGTTGGTGAGATCAACAATGAGGTGATTAGATAATTAGGTGCATGTCAACAACAAGGTGATGATAACAGGTAATGATGATATGATAATCAATAAAAAGAATCACCGAAACGTTGGACATCATCGCAATTATATCTAATTGGACACAAATCATCCTGTTGACAAGACAATTTCACTTTTTTGTCAACAACATCATTTTACTGTTTTGATTCATATATTAACGCCGTGCGCCTTATAAATGAACAAAACTTCCAGTAATTGTCGCATTCTGTCAAATTCTAATGTGCTCAATAATAACACTCGAAATCACAATTTCTATCACTGTTAATGTTTTGTGGGGAAAATAACCACTTATGTCGACGCCGAATCTCATAACATTCATAATTTCAGCAATGTGTGNGGTTATCTGGAACGTAAAAATGTGGAAGGAAGTGTTCGTGATGAGATTGTTAATTCTTCATTTTTGAGTGCAAATTTTGCTTTACACCATTGTTTCGCATACATCTAGTTCGGCTATTGAGTTTGACCGAACTCATCTCATCAACTTTTCTTCTAGATAATACTCATAACGGGTGCAGGGAGTGGTTTGGGACGTGAACTATCGAAGCGTTTAGCGAAGAGTCGACCTCGACTGGTTTTATGGGATATGAATGAAACGGGTGTGGAGGAGACTGCAAAAATGTGCCGAGAATTCGGCGCTGAGGTTTTCAACTTTATATTCATTGTTCCACATTTTTCAAACTGAATTGCTCACATTCATGAAAGTGTTATTTTAAAGTTTATGCAAAAAATTCGATATTTAGTGCTACGCTTATGTGGTGGATGTAAGTAATCGAGAGATGGTTTACAAAACGGCCGATTTAGTGAAGAAAGAAGTTGGTGATGTCGAAATTCTAATAAATAATGCTGGTATTATTAATCAAGGTGTGCCTTTCAC